TCCGCTGCGCTGCTTCCCAGCCTATGATGATGATGATACGAATGTGTTGTTATTGATTTCCCGTTGTTTCACTCTTTGCGTCGCGCACATTGACACCTTGTGAATGTTGCACCTATGCTGCTGGTTGTTGCCACTTTCGTCATTGCTAGATCCTAGACTTCAGTGCATTTCACTTTCTGATATGCTACAGTGGATGCCATTGGGTGGGGCAATTCAGCTGCTCACTGCCCCCAAAGGGGTTGCATCACACAGTTTTAACTTTTAACTTTTTTAAAGTTTTTTAACCATTAGCAGGCTCAGAGGCTTTCTTAGCCTTTTTAGGGCATACTTACGCTTGGTCGCTTTTGATGGAATCTGGTCGTGTTTACAGTCCCATACGTCTGGGAAAGGCCGGGTGTGAGTATCATATTGTAGTTTCTGTGAAGGAGACTACCTTCTCCCGAATACAACGTACGCTCGTTATAGCTGTATTTAGACTGAAAGATGCCCCAAATACATAGAGCTATAATGACCGTACATTTTATTCGGGGGGGGAAGAAGGTAGGAGCATTGCCCACAATGGAATGGTGTGTTTTATCTGAAACTCGGAGTTTTCTGCGCAGTGACCATCCTTCTTCATCCCCAAGTTAACCATGTATCTGTCTGTGGGGCTACTCATTTTTGCTGCAGACTCGAGGTTCCATCTGTTGGTGGGGATCTGCCTCTGCCAGCAATCGTGGGCAGCTTCTCATCAGTGTGTGGGACTACTCCGGAAATGCATAGCGTCCTGCTTCGGGAATGCAATGGTGTGCTATGATCTTCGCTCGAATAGAACGCTCGGTCGATATAGCTGTATTTTTGGGACAACTTTCAGCCCAGATACAGGTATAATAACCTTGTGTGTGTTCCATTCGCGTGAAGACGGTAGTGACTTCGGTTAAGTTTGGGTGTCTTTGGCCTCTGGCTTCCCAAAATGGACAAGAAAATCCGACTCCGTGCTTGTGGGTTGATTACCCCAAATGTGGCCTCATCATTCTCAACCCTGAAAGGTGCGGCCTTGGCGGCATCAAGCTGGAGCACACAATCAAGGGCCCAAAATGACTCAGGGAATATTGGCACTACCGGACTCATGTGCGTGTGTCCGACTGGACTGTCGCCAGACTTAGTCCAAAGGTCCTGCTGTGAGTATGACCTCAGAGTCTCAGACCAATCACACACTCACCTAGTTTATTCTTCCAGAGTGGAAGTGGGAGAGAAGGAAAAGTAGAAGGTAAGCCATCAGGATTTGATGGAAATCTTATGAGCAATTTAAGTTTGTCGTTGTGTGCCTTGTCGTCCGAAAAGGATGATCCAAAAGAAAAGGGAGGAGTCAAGTGGTTCTTCATGCACACTCACAGCTGGACTTTCAAGGATGAATCTGGGCACAAATACAGCTGGATTCAGTCCAAAAAGTCCCGGTGCGAGTACGCTCTTGTAAAGCATACACTCAGTTTGCAAAATATACTGACATTGTTTCACATGGGGAATCGTCTCGGATAAACAGGTATACGATGTGAGCAGTTTTGTGGAGTTGCATCCCGGCGGAGACACAATCCTTAGCAATGCAGGTGGTAATGCAACTGCAGGCTTTTATGGGTAAGACAGAAGCATGCCCTGTACCTTTCCCTCTCCACTCCCCCCTCCCAACACCTTTAATTAACAATCAACCTGTAGTTACTAATTAGCCTGTAACTAACTGTAATCATCATGGCTACCATCTGCACGTGTCGACAAGGGTCCAGATGGTCCGGGGCGCGGGATCCAGATTCTGGATGGTGGAGGCTTGGAGCTCTCCAGATTAAATTCAAAATATTGAATATTCTATCTGTTCTGTTTTCCCAGGCGCCTGGGTTCCAGGGACTGCCCGCCCTGGGGGGGCTCTCGGGCAGCCTGACCCAGCGGCCCACCCTGTGTGTTCATGGACGGGCCCAGCACATTTTTACACGGGGCCAAACCCAGGGTTTGGGGGGGTGGTTTGGGGCCTCCTGTGTCGAGAAGCGAGGCCCCCAAAATACTTTGGGTCTTGCCGGACACCGGTAAGCCCTGTTTTTTTTTGCGGTCCAATCTGGTCTGCTGATCTCCCAAGATCAGTGGCCCAGATTGCAGAGATGAGCAACGGGTACTCAGACCCACACCCACCCGCACCCCACCCCACCCACGAGGCATAGGGTCAGGTGTGGGTCTTGATAAGCTGGCATGGGTGGGATGAGGGTGGGTCTAGGCGAGCAAGCCTGGGTGGGTGACAGGAGGGTCAATGTTAGGCCTGGGTCACCCGAATGCGTGGGTGACAGGCGGGTGAGCGCTAGGCCTGGGTCACCCGACCCACAGACCCAGGACAACCCATAAGAACCCTCCACCCCACCCCCCACCTCTCCCTCGTACATATTTTCAAGCTGCGCTCCATCTGGGGACTTCAAAAGTTGGAGGCCCAGGAAACCGAAAGTCTCCACCCTGGGGCCCCCTGGAAAAAAAACCTTCTGGTCCTCGCAAAAAAAGAGCCGCGTTAGTGGCAAATCAAAATTTGGGGTCCTCCTTGAAAAAATGTGTCACGCTCTACCGGTGGCAGCTGGACCATGGCCCAAACAAAGGGATGCTCGCTCCCATTAAAACAACGGGGATTGAACCTAACCACAGCAAGTGGCCTAACCAGAGCAAGTGGCAAGGTTCGCTCCCCAATTTCAAACTTGTGGAGCGCTTTGAATTTCCACGCTGTCATCCACGGATGGCGCAAGGTGGAGATGCTTCAAATTTTTGCACCTTCATCCAAGGATGTCATGTTGCTATGGTGCGTGTAAATGTTTGAAGGGACTGAGACAATGAGGAACGGGCGGGTGCGGGTGCAAAATAATTAGCTACTGGGTGCGGGCAGGTATTTTTGTTGTTGCGGGTGTGGGTGGGTCAGGGTGAAGGTGACGGGTGGGTTGGGTGTGGGAGGAAAATTTCAAAAAAACACTTGGGTCGGTTGGATC